CAATTTTCAAAAGATAGTATTTAACAGAAGAAAAAAGAAGTAAAAGGAAGCCTCTTTATCTCAAGTAAATCGACTCTGCATTAACTTTCTGCCTTCATTTTTCAGTAATGTGCTTTAAATATTCAGGCGTTGAACAAGTGACAAAAAGGGAAGATCAATCCCAACACTCCCAAATCTTCAAGAAAACCGTAACAAAAGTTCACACAACCTTCAATGATTGTTAATTCATTGACAGCAAATTTTTTGGCATTTAATCACGATCAAATTTATTCTGAGTTATTTCTTCCCGTGTAATCCGTAGCCAAAAAAAAAGAACAAAAAGCAACACTAAATGTCAACAACTTGAAGATTTCAGATGAACTCTTAAGTGTAGCGAAAAGAAAAACACTATACTACTCTATTGAACCACCAGTTTTTATACAAAAACTTCTTTTTTCAAAATTCCATCCTATAAAAATAAAGAAATAAAAGGAATAAAAATATTTCAAAAATTATAAACTGTACCTTGACATTGATACAGCAGCTATAATACCAAGCAAAAGTTCCACAATTACCAGGACTCCCTCTATAACGACGAAAACAAATTCGACTAGTAAAACATAACTTTGAAAAAACCCCCAATAAACACACATTGCTATAATTGGTATACTAATGAGCATTGAAAACGATATATATGCCGGTGTTTCCGTCAGGTTTCCTTTACGACCTGAAAAGGAACAATAGTTGTGTTAATGCTACTTGACTTGGCATATTTGGGTACTGAGGATGACCGCTTGAATACAGTGAACACACATCATCACTTTCTGTCAAGTTGGTCATCTAACAGCAACTGTTTTTAGGTACCATGTCTGTCCTAAATGTTAAATAATTCGCTGTAGAAACTTACCCCAGAACAAACGAACTGCCTCAATTGGTGCAAATAGCATTATTAGTAGAAGTTCGCAAACGATTACATACGGTGCGTATGGAAGTAAAGTAACTGTAAATCAACAAACATTTATTGAAAAAAAAAATAATTGAAAAAAAATACTGCAGCAGTTTAGAGATTCAAACAACATAAGTGTTTCATAAACAGATGAAAACTTTTTAAAAAGCTACAACTCCTTGAAAAGAAGAAGTTTCCTAAGATAAAAAGACTTGTCGGTAAAAAGAGCACAATAATAATATTGTTAAAGAGTGTTAACAGCTTTAAGTTTGTCTAGCAACAGTATTAATACGTAAGTGTAAGCTAGCTGAGACTTATCTAGTAATCTCTAATGGTAAAATACTGCGTTATCGCCCTGGAAATCACGTATAATCATTACCTACAGATATTTTAGGTACTAAGTTTTTAGTCAAATTTATCCTTTATATAAAATCTATAAGGAAAACTATGAAAGAATGAAATAATTACTTTTTGATGTGGCCTTCTGATGAATCATCTTCCTTCAGCTCATAAGTAATGGAGATTCTTGTCAAGGTATTGCATGAAACATGCCGAGTGATGACTGGTACCCTATTTTGCATAATGAAAAGAAAGCGCTCTATTGAGAATAGATCATTTTTTGCGTTAGTTAAACCGCGTTTATAGTAAACCCCTTTTACTTTTCTCAAAAAAAAAAAAGACTAGTCAGTTGTTTTACAAAAATATAGCTGTGACTCTAAACGCTATTTTTCTCTGCCTTGACCGCTGACTTAGGTTAAGTGTCAAATAATCAATTCACTTTACACGGCATAGTTTAAAGGTATTTTATCTTGGTATAACATCTTATTAAATTCAGCCTCCTTTACCATTTACCAAATTGCTTACAGTTACATACTTATGTTACTGGCGGACAAAATGAAAGCCATTATCACCATGCGTCAGTTCTTCAATTTAACAATCTTTTAAAAGCGCAAAAATATCTTTCCTAAGCAGAGTTATATTTCTTTTTAAAATACATATTTATTTGGTAGAGTAAAATAGGAAATTTTGAGTGAACTTTCTAGACGCATTCAGTAATGCATATTATGCTTTTTTAACAAAAATAATAAATAAAATTTTGAACTCCTGACGAGTAACTTTCGTAATTTTTAAGTGAACTACGATACTGGCTTTATTAACTGACCTATCACACGTGCTTATTTAACCTATTTTTAAAATATGATTTGCAAAAGTAATTAAGCTTTCAAACTTTTTAGTGGCAGATAACTGAAATATTGCCTATAAATCAATTGTCCTACCTTTGTAGAGAAGAAGAATCAGAAGAAGGATAAAGAGTAACAACGAATAATAATAGTTCAGCTGTAACGCCAATTGATAGGATAGCGAAGAACGCTAAAAGGAAAAGAGTTTGTTATTCCTTTTTGTCCACTTTTTGTAGCATATTGATAATTTGTCCTACCAATCTGTTTTTGTTAAACAGTTACTCTAACTGTAAAAAATTTATTGAATTCAAAAGTAACCAAAAAATGAAAGTAGTTTAAACATCATTAATTGGATTACCACACTAGAATAGCTCATGGTCTACAGGACTGAAGCACAACTGGAGAGATGCGTAAGATGCGATTAACGATCGTGCAGTATCTGCCAGTACCACTTAGTTGCCATAGCGATAAGTGCAAACCTCAACGCGTAAACCTCACTCGGCTTGCAAAATACAAACCTGCGAAGGACACTCTTTCACCAATTCAGTGCTCGGTCCTACCAATTCTAAACGTCAGCCGGGAATTTCAGGTTTTCAACTGCACTGCATCTCCAAAAAACTCATGGAAGTGAACATAAAACCCTAATTAGTTGCGCAACAAATTCAGATGTCATGTACTCTACCAAACCAAGAACGAGAATCAAATGCGAAAGAAAACGGCATTAGGAAAATGGGCAAAGAATAAGTTGCCCCAGTCCCAACAACTCCCACTTGTGACGAGATTCCGGATTACCTCGTTAAATATGTACAGCACTCAACAGCCAACATTTCGCTGAAGCACACCACTTTAACATTTTAGACGGTCGCAAGTGACCTGAGCTCAACCCAGAGTGATAAAAACACTCACGAAATAGCACCTTACGGCTTCGCGAAACAAAGTTGTTTCCGCTTTACAACATATCGGTCACTGGTAATGAGATAAGCAGAAAATAATGTCAAGTTTTCAGGCGTCGTAATTCTTCCTCAATTGCATCACATCCTTTTCGGTAAAAGGTATCAAGCAACCACAAGCAGTTTGAAAACTTTATTGACCTTGTCTACCAAAAACCAGAAAAACAACAAAATCGAACAACAGTAGCACGAAGGAACGAGAAAAAGTAAAAAGTTAAACACTTTGCCCGGTTAGCGGGCTTAAGTCACCATCACTTAAAAAATATGAGTCGATACTCACAAAAAAGTCCTAAGGTTCCCGCACCCACGACAACTTTAATTTAAACTGGATTGTAACTCTTGGAGCCCACTAAAACCATAGAATATATGGTCAAATTCGAGCATACTTCATGTCTAAAACTAGGACTGCACTACCACAGTTGTCAGATGGCCATCTCGGGTCTTGCATCCGGACTTGCATCTTCATGGCGCCAAAATTGAGTGACTGTTTTAAATTGTGTGTAGAAAGCGATCCCCGCTTTGCCATAGTAGTTCTGTAACAATGTCACCAGCTGGGTTTGGAAGAATTACAGCAAAGTGAAATCAACACTTCGTAGCCCAATAATACAAAGCATTACCCAACTTGACAAAGCTGGAAAGCAAAACTGGTGAAAAATTTACCAGGTCTCCTAAGAAACTGCCTCGATTACCAGTAAAAGAGAACATTGGAAGCGGAACAGGGATTGGAACATTAATCCCGACCTAGAATTTTTAAAAAATTGAAGATCCCTTATTGCGAAGTCCGCTAAAAGTGGAAAAATCTTTAGTCACCTGGCCGATGTCCACATTCTCCATAAATCTTCTAGCGGTTGCACCATTGGTAGTGAATATCGCTGTGCCGTTTCCATAAGGGTTTTTGTTAATGATCTCAACAGCTTCATCCATTGTTTCGGCAGTCATTACACAAAGTACTGGGCCAAAGATCTCCTCCTAAACGCTAATTAAAATCTTCATGAGCTTAGGTCAGGGAAGAACTATTTGGAAGTAAAACAAAATTTTTTTGACGAAAATGATCAAAAGTGAAGCAAGCGCAAAAGAACTAAAATTAAAAGAGGAAGGTGAATCGGGAAACCAAAAGAATGACCAACTTTGTAGCACCGCATGTTTGGTTGAACACCTTCAATGACGGTAGGACCTACGAAATAGCCTTTTTCAAAACCTTTCACTTTGATATGTGATCCATCCAGAGGTATTTTACACCCGTCTTTTCTAGCAGACTCAATTAATCCAATAACTCTCTCTTGAGCAGCTCTCGATATCAGGGGACCAAAATCGGTACCAGGAATCCATCCTGGAATGTGGGTTGTAATAAATGCTTTGTAGCACTCATATGTTTAGAAAGTTTATTACCAAACAACACTAGCATACACATACCAGCATTAACCTTCAAACGTTTTGACTTCTCAATGAAGTCCGGAATCCACTTTCGAGATTCTCCAACAAAGACGGCTGTAGACAGTGACATACACCGCTCACCTGCAGCACCATATGTTGCTGCGGCCAGCTAAATTAGCGACTAAATACCCAAGTGCAACAAAATAATAAAATACAACGCTAGTTACAGTAAATATTCTTTTTCAAAAAAATAGGTTTTTTGTTCAGACAAGACAAGAGACTCTTTTAAAAAATTGAACCTGATTTAAAGTAGCTTCTTTATTAGCATCTGCCATAATAACACAGTGATTTTTAGCACCCATATTTGACTGTACTCGTTTTCCATTGGCGCATCCACGCTTATAGACGTGTTTACCCTACAACTTCGTATCTATATATTTATGTAACACCGCTGACCGATCTAGTGTTCTGTGAGGAAATTCCAAAATCCAATTATACCCCGACATCGCTGCCAACAAAAGATATTGCTTTGATGGCAGGATGATCACAAATCATGTTTACAGCGTCGTGCTGTCCGTGGATAATGTTCAGAGTGCCATCTGGAAACCCAGCTTCTTTTGCCAATGCTGCCAACATTACTGCGGCACCTGGTGTTTGCTCAGAAGGTTTAATAACCATTGTGTTCCCTGAAACTGCTTGTAATTAAAGGTTTATTCCTTCTTTGAAATCCATCAATGAAACGGCAAAAAAAGAGTAACTCCAAGAGATTTGTTTAGAAAGATGATGTTTCTTCACATTTCACCTGTAACCAGTGCCAATGGAAGCATCCACAATGGGACCATTGCTGGGAAGTTAAAAGGACAAATGCCTCCAATTACACCCAATGGAACACGAAGACTGAAGGTGTCCATATCTCGTGAGACACTTAAAAACATTTTATGCACAACCAAAATACACATGTTCAACAACCTTCTAAAACATAGGAACAAACTCTAATCTTTTTTGACTTAAGTATCTACTGTTCAAAACTTACGACACTGCCACAGAAAAAAATTAAGCATACTAACCCAGGAAGAATATCTCCAAGCAGTAGATTAGTCATCCCGCAAGCATGCTCGACTACCTATCAAAATTCTTAATCAGTCATATTTCCATTCATACCGTGACAGTAAGCCAGTGTGCACGAAAAATTTCACGCTTTCATACAGTAATTTACCTGCCTGTCCTACGCACTTTTTATAAAGAAATTATAAACCTGAAGTCCCCTGATAATGCCACCCTTAGCGTCGTCTAGAGTCTTCCCGTTCTCATTAGTGATATTTTCAGCTAATTTCTGCATATCACGTCTCAGCAGTTCCTAAAAAGCCCAGTTAT